AAAAAAAAAAAAAAGACTCAATGTAGGCAAATATACTTTATTTGTATTTGAATGTATGCTTTATTACACTCCCTCCCTGAGGTCAGGAGAAATACCCTAGTTACATCTGTTAGTGCATTCCTTCCACTTACTACGGGCAAAATATGGAGAACTGACACGCCAGGGAACTTCATGTGTCAAAATGCCCATGCACAAGCACACAGACACGTCTTTTTTCTTGACTCTTCATTGCCTACAGAGTAAATTGGCCCTCAAATCCTCCACAGTCTAGTCTAGACTCTAGATCAGTGAGTCTCAACTGGGGGTGATTTTGCCCCCCAGGAGACATTTGACCGTGTCTGGAGACATTTTTGGTTGTCACAGCTGCAGGGCTGCTACAGGAGTCTAGTGAGCAGAGACCAAGGATGCTGCTAAACATGCTACAATGCACAGGACAGCCCCACAACAGAAAATAATCCAACGCGAAATGGCAATAGTGCCCAGATTGAGAAACCTTGCCTTAGACCCAGTCTACCTTCCTAGCATTGTCTTTAGCCTCCCTCTTGCGTAAACCTGACATTCTAGCCAGACCCAGGTGCCCCTCATACCATACACCAACTGAATTGCTTCTTACAGCACCTTTCACCTGAAATCCTTCTCCCTGCTTCTCTGATGTCAGAGCCCAGCTTCAGTCCTCGCACATCTCTCTGAAGCTATCTCTGGTGTCTCTAGCTACTGCTCTCTTCCTTCTCTAACCTGTAAGACTATTCCACTAATTTGGCACTTAGTTAACAATACAAAGTGGTACTTGCTATCTTTCCAACTTGACTGAAAGCACCTTGAAGGCCATGTTGATAGGTTTTGATTTGAAATATGAGGTACCACCCCTTATATACCTCAATGGGCACCTCCGACTTGACCCACCTGGGGCTTCCCATGGCAGCTTTCCTGCCACCGTGGGGTACAGCGGTTGAGTCAGCACAGCCCCTCAACTGTCACAGCAAGAACACTGGGATTCAGCTTTGTTGCGAGAACTGCTAGCTGGATGGAACCTGAGTCCAAATGTGAGCCTCATGCCCAGAAAAGTATTCATGCTGAACCTGGTTCTTATCTAAGCTACAAGATATGGGATGAGGACGGCTACAAGGAATGGACCTATTTTGCCTCCAAAAGAGCACAGGAGGATCTATCTTACGAAGCCTGGGAGACATCCCATTTCGCATGGAAATGTGCTTGGATAGGGATTGTTCTGTCGTAACTGGACCCACTTAATGCCAATCAGTGTTGAAGATGATAATATTAGTAATGAAAGACATCAGTATTTATTTAGAACCCACTGTGTGCCAGGTACCGGGCTAGGTGCTTTACACAGGTTGTCTCATTTAGTCCTCACCACAGTCCTGAAGGAAGCTGAAGCCCTGAAAGGATCATTTGCCTGAGGTCACCTAGCTGACAAATAGCTGAGCTGAAATCTAGCCACGGTCTGTCTGACTCCCAAGTCTGTGCTCTCAGCCGCCACCTCCCTGCCTGAATGTAGCCAGGCACCTCTAGCACTGCTCATGGAGAGAGTCATGTTATGATATGCCGAGACGTGGGGGAAACCCGTCTGGTCTCACTTGAGAGATGGAGATCCAGGGGGCATAGGTGTGCATTGTGAAGCAGGCGCTAGTGTCTGGTCTGACTGCTCTGCTGCTGCAGGAAAGCCCACGAGGTTTCCTTTTGGGCCACACCCTGTGACTACCACCCAGTGCTCTAACCCTTCTTGTTTTTGCCTCCCCTTTAGGTGCACTACATCCTTCAGGAGGTGGTGATGGGTGGAATGGTGTTGGAAACAAACATGAATGAAATCGTGGCTCAGATTGAAGCTCAGAACAGGCTGGAGAAATCCGAGGTGAGTACGCAGCTGTACTTTTGTCCTGGCTGGTTAGAGAAGACCTGGGCAGAGGAGGAGTGGATACACGTGTTGGTTTGTGTTGCTGTGGAACCGTAGGAGTGTTTCATACTCATCTTCTGTCTTCCTTGAGTCCATCAAAACTCACTGATTTGAAGGCCAGCCCTGAAAATTAAACAGGTAAGAATGAGGGTAAAGTGTGAATGGAAAAGCCAAATGGCACGGGAGGGCAAACAACTTCTGGCTCAGGGGGTTATGGCCTATGTTCGTGGTTTGTAATTCCTCCTCTCAAAGCCACACGTTCCCTGGAGGAACCCAGAATCCCCTTCTCTGATTCCAGCGTGGTTTCCTCATTTGTGTGCTGTGTGAGTCTGGTCTCCCAGCAGCCATTTCTTGTTGTGTCTTTCAGACCTCAGAGTAGCCCATTTCCTTATTTCCAGTTAGCCTTATAAAAAGCTACAGTGGAGTTTGGGCTGGGTTTGAAAATAACATACCCCAGTCCACCCCCACATGGTGCTGGGCTTGATACAAATGCTCGCAGTAAGAGACTCAGAGGAATAGAACTTTTGATTCTGGTAATCATTTAGATCTTTTTCTTGTCTTTTGTCCTGTCCCCCTGAGGTCTCTCCATTGCTTTGTCAGACTTACCAGGGAGTGGAGGTTACAGGCATGCACCTTTACATGGGGCAGAAATAGCAAAACAGATTACCTCTTTGGTTATCTGAATGTCCTAAAGAGCTTCATTGCTTTGTGTAACGGAACTTGATCTTGCAAAACCAGGAATTCTTGTTTCTGTGAGGACTGGCCGTCCTGCTGAAGAAGCTTTTCCAGACCACAGCTATTGTGGTAACTATAGTTCTTTTAGAAATGCAGGCTGGGACGCTTCCAGGAATCATAAGTGAGTCAGAGGCAGGGGATTTGGAAACCAGAAGAAATGGTGGTTTGCTGGGTGAGGGTGAAATTGGAGTTGGTGTCCCGAAAGTAGTCAATAAGGAGGAAATGGTTTTGAGAGAGTCCTTATCAACTTCTCCCCTTCTCCACACATGGAGTGAGCCTGGAGGGTGAGGACTGACCGTAGACACGTTTGCTGTCTGTGTTTTGTTTCCAGTCCTTCCATATCTGTGGGTTCACTCCCCTCCTACGTGTCCTTCCTCCCATCTTGTTGCCACATGACATTTTCAGAGCCAGCTCTTTTCCATTGCACATTATTAGTTGGCAAATAGTTGCTCTAAGCTGTGACATTCCTTTTCCTCTTAAGAATTTCTCTGTGACTGCACTTGTTTATAAGTCATCAGTCTCTTGAGAAAGGGTTTGGTTTTATTTTGGTTTGTAACCTGAAAAGTGCCCTGATACTGAATGTGACTTGGTTAAACCATCTCAGATTAGTTCAACAAGCATTTATTGAGCACCTACTATGTGCCAGGCACTTTTAGGTGCTGGGGCTATAAAACTGCATAAGCCACAACCCGAGCTTTAGGAGTGCAGAGTTTGGATCCCTACACCATGGTCCCCATCTAACCTAAAGATTGTTTTGTTGGCTACCTGTGAGGAATAAGGAGGAAAAATCAAAAACTTGCATTGTATGTACTCAGTTTGGACATTTTCTAGGCCTCCGTCACTTGTTTTTCTTAAGCATTAAACAGATGACACTGAGGGTTTGTCTTATGCCCACCTCTCCTTTCTCCTAGGGTGGCCTTTCAGCAGCCCCTGCCCGGGCTGTGTCTGCTGTGAAAAACATCAACCTGCCGGAGATTCCTCGGAACATCAACATTGGCGATCTCAACATCAAAGTCCCCAACCTGTCCCAGTTTGTCTGAGGGTTGAAGACTGGGCTGAACTGGAGTCCTTGAAACAAGCAAAGCCAAGCCAGTCCTGCAACAGATCCCACTCCAAGCCTTAGAAATCAAGCCTTGGGCCCTGACCCTTGCTGTCTTGGCATGGGGGCGGGAATCCTGTGTCCATTCCTAGCATGTGCTCGGTTCTCACATGTGCAGCCTTGCCGGTCTCTGATACACGTGGCCACTGCCGATGTGAGGGGTCCCTGGCTTCCTCAGTGGGGGGTCAGCATGCCCAAGCCACTCACACCCTTTACCTCCTGCATGCAGCTGCTCCCAGGGATTGAGGACTGTCTTGAGAGGCCCACCTGCTTCCCAGTACCCCACCACTAGGACATTCTCTGACTGGGGCCTTCATCCTTAGCACCACAAGGCTTCTGAGGTCCTGTAGCATTTAGTTTTGCTGGCAAGGTGCCATAGCTAGAAAAGGGCTGACCCTTCAGATTTTGGGATGTGGTGAGTGGCAAACCTGGCAGGATTTTATGAGAACCAGAGTTGCCTACTGACTCGACTAGGGTTGTCATACCCAGCATCCTTTTGTATTAGCCAAGCTTTCTGATTCCCACCTTCTACAGAATACATTTGCCCCAATGCCATGGTCCTACCTCTGCTCTCACAGGTTTTATGTGCAGGACACAATCCAAATCATAAACCTGGGGCATGCCCACCACACTTCTGCTAATAGGGAGAGCACCCCCACACGGCCATCCCTCCAGGGTCTTCCCTCACAGGGGAGAGGCCCAGTGTCTGTAGAAGGTGAAGCTGACAACATGTGGAACACCTCAGAATTGTGACTCTTTCGAGGTTTGAAATACATTCTCCTCACGAGGAGCAGACGAGTCAGTTGCTGTGTTGTGAAGGATGAGTCTTCCGTGTACTGGAAACCCACTGCCATCTGTACCAGCTTCTGGAGCATGAGAGCCTGAGCTGGGGTCACCTGTTCTGGACCTGGCAGAGGGGAAGGTTGGGGATGCGGGAAGCGTGCTGGCGGAGACTGGTCACAGTGCAGCATCTTCTCCCCACGGTGAGAGGGGTCCCTCCCTGAGCTCTGCTTACGGGCACGCCCTCTGCCCCTCAGGTGATGTTCTAGAGCTAGCTTTGGAAGCCTGTAGATGTTTATGTGTGATGACAGTCTCTCTTCCGGTGGTTAATTTAGAGCTAAAACTGCTCCTTGGAGTAGTGCCTCTTGCTCCTGCACTGCCCGGAGGCCAGGTCTCAGGTACAGTGTGAGCTGCCTTGAGATTAGGGGGCTCACTGCACCTTCCTGGTAAAGTCTCCCCACCTGGGGACTTCTCGTGCCTGCTGGCGGGAACCCAGACTGTTTCCCAGGCCTCCTAATGCTGTCTCAGAACCCGTCGGAGATGGTGCCCAACAGGCACCATCTTTTCGCTCTTTGAATAGTGCTTCCTGTGCTTGCTGCCCATTGCTTCCTACACCCTGTTGTCCGCACGCTTTCAGAGCCCCTCAGAAATGGGCGGTGTTGATCGGAAGGTGGGCCCTGTTATGTTGGAAGAGGGAAATGTAGGTGAATATATCTGATGTAAAAACCTCTGATATCATTCTTTTGAAGGGTTTAATTTTTTTTTTATAAACATTTCAGCACATTCACATTCCTCTCTCTCACATTTGCTGAATGTCAAATAGGAACAGAGGAAGGAAACCGATGCTTATTTTGCCCCTACTGTAAGGTGGTATGAGCAAGATCCTTCCACAGTCCTTATAACAGACATTATCATCTCCATTTTGCAGATGAAGAAAGTAAAACTCAGAGGTCAGTTAACGTGCTTTAGGTCACACAGGGCTAAGAATTGACACTGTCTGCTTGCCTAACTCCATAGTCTGTTTTTTTTCACTGCTCAAGATGGCTTCTCCCAATTTTATCTTCTTTCTTATAGATAGGGTAACTGAGTCTCAAAGAGGTTAAGTAGCTTCTCACAAACTGTGATAAAAACAGGCTTGGTTTTCTAAGGTAACCAGTGACACCACCACAGAGTGTGAGAGCGGGAGGGCTCAGCGTGTCTCCCTTGAGCTCACGAAGAGACGGAAGCCCGGAGAGTTACGTGTTGTGTTGAGGGTCACAAAGCTAGAACCAAGCCATTCCTCTTGAATTTATTTATTTTGTGGTTTAATGGAGGATATCCACATGTCCTGGATTTCCTGAGATAGTCTTCAAATGTTTTGCCTGCCAGAAACTAATCGTTCCCAAAAACCATGGACTGGTCCTAGAGCCTCCAAGAGTGGGCATCCCAACAACGTCCCTCACACTGCCTCTAAAAATGGCATAAAACTTAAGCCTGCCTTTTTATTTGGAAAACTCAATCCCTTTGGACAAGCCACAATAATTGTTCATTAACTACTTGAGGTTGCCTGCAAATCCAGCTAGCTTTCTTGCCTGTAATCAGCAAAGCCATAAGCATTTTTTTTTAAGTAAGTTAAGAGGAAATCCTCACTGGCCTTTTTTTGGAGAGGGATAGATACTGCTGCTGAGAGATGTCAGTTATGAACACAGGGGCTAGGCTTGACTTAGGGAGTCCTTGCCCCTAGATGGTTACACTGAGGATTTCCTAAAGTGGTACAGAATACTGGGTTTTCAGGGCTCACTGCCACTAATTAAAATCTAAAATTCATCCATTGTGCAATTTCTAAGTGCCTGGTGAGTGCCAGGCTCAGTGCTAGGCACTGAAGAGAGAGAAACGAGACTCTGCTTCCTACTGTTGTCTCTGCTGAGAATCTCTGAGTGCTCAGATGGAGTCTGACTGGGAGCCTGAATTTGTGGAGACTGGAGTCAATGACTTTGTGTTATATGGGATATTTAAAGGACAGTAACCCATTTCCCACCCCCAGCTGACCCCATCATGCCCTGCTGGGCCGTGCTCGAAACAGCCTGTCTTAGTTCAAGCTGTTGTAATAAAAATACCATAGGCTGGGTGGCTTAAGTAACCAACATTTCTCACGGTTCTGCAGGCTCATCAAGATCTAGTGAGGGCCCGCTTCCTGTTTGTCATAGACAGCATCTTCTTGCTATGTCATCACACGGTGGAGAAGGTGCTGGGTGGCAGTAGAGGCTCCACCCCCGTGACATCATCCAAACCTAATTATCTCCCAAAGGCCCACCTCCAAATACCATCACATTGGGGATTAGACTTCAACATATAAATCTGGGGGGACACAAACATTAAGTCCATACAGTGCATCTAATTACCCTCCTTTATTCCAGACCGGTTGTGCTTGTCACCTCGAGGATTAAGTCAGGATACCAAGTCTTCTAAAGTCCTGTTATTCAGGCCTCTGCCACACACACAGCCAACCCTCCCTCCCCACCACCTCCACGTCTATGGAGCCACCCTAGTGAAGCCCTCTCTGGCCCCAGCTTCATCAGAAAAGAAACCAGGGGAGTATGGCTAAAACCAGGCTGCTGGCTAAGTCCTGCCATGTAGATCAGTCTTTAGTAGGGGGTCTCCTTCGTGTGGCCATCTGTCCATGGCTTTCCAAATAGGATGCAGAGTGATTGGTGCCTGCAGATAAAGATCAGGAGTGAGTGCCATAGCCAAGGTGGAGAGCCACTGAAGTATGAGAGACCCAGGGGGTCGTGGGCTGCTGGAAAACACCCTGGTCATCAGTCTCCCAAGGCCTCTACCCTACCACCGAGAGGGTGCCTATCCCATTGTGGTCATTGTTAGCCTGATGTCCACATGCACTCGTACACCAGTGCATGGTCAGGGCTCAGAGGCTGCCTAATGGTTGTCCTCATGGTTCAGACTTTGCCCTCAGGAGCACTGGGGATTCTGCATCTGCAGTGTTGGCAGCAGCTGACAGATATACAGACAGGCCTCCTTTAAGGAAATAGTTCCGTGAAAATGAATAATCATTTCCAAAACACTTTAAATTCTTTCCTGTTTCAATGAATTAATGTTTTAAAAAGGAAATACATTCATGTAGTTCAAACTTTAAGATAACAAAAGTCTGTTCAGCCGGACTCCCACACTGTTCCCCCAAACCTCCAAGCCCCCCCATCCCTGGTAGCAACAAGTGTTTCCACTTTAAAGGAGTAAGAAACAAAGCCCCTGGATTTTTATTACCAAAACTGCGAGTGTGTCTTCTTGAAAGAGTTATGTTCCATTTGACCTCGGTGAGTGACCTCAGCCCGCTACAACCATGCCATTCTCTGTAGGGAGGGGGGCGCCTCCCAGGCCACCTCGTATAAAATAGCCCCCCTACTTCAGCACGACCTCTTCTTGCTCTGCCTTTCCTTTTTCTGACATACTGTGTGTTTGGGTTGTGGTTATTGTCTGTTCCCTACTAGGATGCACGCCCCTCAAGGGCAGGGGCTTGTTGTTCAGTGCTGTTTCCCAGCTGCTGTGAACAGTGCCTGGTACATACCGCTCAATAAAGAACTGTTGAATGAGTGCATAGTTGGACCAGTGATTCGTTCTTACAGTAACTCATAGCTTATGCTCTCCTGGGCCCTGTGCTCAGCACTTAGGGAAGGAGAACCAGGGTAACGGCATTGGGAGCAGCAGGTGGGGAGGGACCAGGTGATGGCCTGTGGAGGATGAGGGAGAGGAGAAAGGCAAAGCTGATGACTGTGGAGCCCAAGTGACTGGAGGACCAGTTGAGAGAGAAGGAGGTGGTTTGGGAGGGAGAAAGTCCAGGGTTTGGATGTGGACATGTTAGGTTGGAGTTGCCTGAGAATATCTGGGGGCAGATGTCCACCAGCCAGCTGGGAACTTGGGAGTGGGCAGGAGAGGAAGTGAGCGTCCATCACAGGGAGATGGTGGTTGAAGCTGTGGGGGCGAGCAGGGTGGCCACAGGATGAGAGGAGGGGGTTGAGGGACAGCCTGTGGGCAAGGGAAGGGCGAGGAGAGTCTAGATAGTGGAGTGACTTCTAGTCAAGGGAGAACTTTTTCAATGAGAAGGCCCCTGCTGAGAGGCCAAGAGGCTGGGCACTAGGAAGAAATGACCTCTCTCGGGCTTGCATTTGCTCTTGGTGGCAGCAAAGTGCCACAAGTGAGGCAGCAAAATAAGGAAACTTTGAAGGGGTGATTCTAGCCAAGTGATGGGGCAGGTCCAAGCCACAAGGAGGTTGTATAAGAGTGTGGGTCCCAATCCAGCTCTGTGACATACAGAGTCCTCACCCATAAAAGGGGTACCAATAACTCCTGCGTCAAGGGGTTGCTGTAAGGATTAACCGAGAGAATTGGTGTAGACCACGAAGGGCTCCATACACATGCTGCTGTCATCATTGGGATTTTTGCAGAGGGAATGGGAGTTGAAGTAGACGCAATAAGCTGGGAGAAGCGTGGTGGTGCTGGGAAGGAGAGACAGCACTGCATGGTGCTCATGTCCTGGCAGAAGGAGGAGGGGGGCACCAAGGTGGGCCTCAAAGGAGTGGGGCTGCAGAAGGATGATGGGGACAGTGGCTGCTGGCCGGGCCCCACCAGTGGGGTCCCAGACCCATATCGAGAGGCCACCTCTGGATAAACTGTAGGGGAAGTGATGGAGTCTCTGGGGGTGAAGCTTTCCTTACAGTGAGGAGTTCAAAGATAGAGCAGCAAGCTTGTGATTGGAGGGACCAGAAGTGCGGGAGACACAGCCTGGAACTCCCTTCCCCCCGCGTCAGCAGAAGTCGAGAGGTCCTGCAGGCACAGTGGAAGGAATCAGCGTTCAGCCAGGACTGTGGTGAGGCCTGTGGCCAGCAGGCCTGGCTGAGAGTTGGGGTCCTGCAGGGACTCCACCCTTCCCATGAGAAGTGGGATCAGTGGGCCTTCTCAAGAGCAAACCTTATATTTTTGCTCAGCTCGGACATCAGCCTGGCCTGAGAGCACTTGGGAACAGGGAGGCCCTCCTCTGCATCCTAGGACTGGGTCACGCCTTCAAGAGGGCAGGTTCAAGGTTTGGGGAGCGGAGTAAGCAGAGACTGAGAGCAGTGGGCAAACTTTGGGGAGGGTGGGGTCAGGGGAGGGAAGGGAAGCCGTGTGCACGGAGGACGCCAGCTTCCCAGAGGCTGCCGGTTTGGGCAGCACGCTCAGAGGACAAGCTCAGGTTAGGGAGTGTGGGCCATGCCCCCAGGGTTTCTGCAGCTCAGGGGGGAAGGTGGGGGAGTGGTGACAGGGGGGGATGCAGAGTGGGCCTCTGGTGGCTGTTAGTCCCTAAATTTCCAGAACAATAAACTGGGCCCTGGTGGATGGGAGGACCCTGGCGCATGGGGAGGAGAGAGCCGCCCCCCCGGGTGATGGTGCCCAGATCAACAGGCTGGATGACATGTGTGGAGCGCTTGCATGCTCTCCAACCTGTAGAAGGGGCTAAGCAAGAGCGACAATAACAATAGTGAAAGCAGCTGTGGTAGACACTATTACTGGTCAAAATATCTGTTGCCTCTCTCTGGGCGAGCCTGACAAGTCCCACACCTTTGACTTCAGGCTTGGTGACCTGACTGGCTCTGGTCAATGCCCTGAGCATAAGTGAGGTGTGCCACTTCTAAGCAGGAACTTCAGGGATCACGACATGGCACTGCCATGTTCACTTTTATCTCTGCTGGGAGACCCACAGTGTCCCAGATCTGGGCTGCTCCGCAGCCTCAGTCACGGAGCGGAGCTGACTTGGTGCAGAGCTGCATCCAACTCATGACAGGCATGTGGGGTGAGCAAGAAATGAACCTTGTTGGAAGCTGCTAAGGTTCAGGAGCTGTTTGTTACTGCAGCATAACATAGCCTCAGCTGACTGCTACAGCGGCTCCTGGACTTGGAGGGCTGACTCTGCACCAGGGGCTGTGCAGTTGATCCTGACAAAAGGGTGCACACTGTGTAATTCCATTTATATAAAATTCTAGAAAATGTAAACTAATCTATAGTGGCAGGAAGCAGATCAGTGGCTGCCTGGGGATGGGGTGGGGAAGAGGGGGACAGGAGGGAGGGATTAAAAGGGACATGAGGACACTCTTGGGGTGACGGATCTTAATTGTGGGGATGGTTTCATGAATATATACACGTCAGAACGTGTATATTTTATGTACTGTTTATTGTATGACAGGTGTACCTCAATAAAACTGTTTTTAAAGAAAACTCAGCTCAGTCTAGAATTCTAATAAAATTCTTATCACTGTGTTACCGATGAGGAAAATGAGGCTCTTTGGGATCAAATTACTTGCTGATGGTCACACAGCTATTAGAGGTGGATCCAGAATTTGAGCCAGGTGTGCTTGAATCCAAAACCTGTGCCTTGAACCTGGAAGGATTCTGACTGGCAGGCCACAGTGCAGGGATGAGGGTCCCCAGAGACAGCCCCCGCTTCAACGTGGTGTTCCCCGAGAGTCACCTTGGGGTGAAGAGGAGGTGGGCAGATGCCTGGCCCCACAGTTTTCAGAGCTGCCCCACGTCTCCTGGAAGAATGAGCCCGGCACAGGAGCAGTGGGGTTCCGGAGCCGGCTTGTACCATCTTGGGAGGGCCAACTGTTAAAATTACAGGAATTTTGCGAGCCAGTTGTAAAATATAGCCATTATGAAAAATTAAATTATATATGCTTACCATTAAATAAAGTATATTAAAAATAAAGGTAACACTCAAAACTCACGGCTTCCTAATTACATTCCCGCGTCTGGCTGGGACTTCTGCTCTTGAGGTGCTGCACACTGATTGTGTCTGTATGCTGGAGGCACTCGGATTGCGTCTGTATGCTGGAGGTGCTCCGCAGTGCTGCGACCCGGTGTCTCTTCCCAGCTCCGCCTCCTGCAGTAGCTTAAACTTGGATGTGGTGGGTTTATTTTCACCACAGAGATCAGAAAATGCTCAGTCAGGGCTAAGCTCAATCAACATCTAACCGTCATATCTCTGAGCCCTAGGGTCTGGCCACTGCACAGGCCCAGGAGCTGAAGGGAGGGGCAAATACGGTCAGAGGCTGAGGCCCAGGGCTGCCAGTTATACCGCTGATAAAATGGCCAGCACCCTTGAGCCCTGCTGCCTGACAAGTCTTCTGTGCGCTCCCTCACTTAATCCTCACCACAGCCCTCTCAGGCAAAGTGCTGTTACTATCCACAGATGAAGACGCTGAGGCGCAGAGAAGCTACTAGCCCAGCTGCAGGGAATAACTGTCACAGCCAGGACGCAAAGCCTGACTCTTAACGGCCACTGTCCACACCCTGCCCCCCCAAAATTACCAGTGTTGGACATGGGGTCTGGCCCAACCCTCTCCTGAAACATCTAGCAGGTGCAGACCCCAGGCCCCCTGAAGCCTGGAGTGGGCTTCAGTGACCACCGGGCCCACGGCCCTGCTTCTCCTGTGGACAGCCAGTCTTGGGGGCCATGTTTTGTGCAGATCCGAGTGCCGAGGAGAGGACAGACCCATCTCCAGTGACCTAGGCCAAGGGCAGGTGGACTCCTGCCCAGAACAGCCTGGGGCGCCTCTTGGAGGCCCTGGAGCACCAGGGGCCAAGCTGGGCTTGTGGACATCTCAGAGCTTCCTGAGGGCTCTGAAGAGAATTCCAGGAATGCCGCAGCCTGAGGGTCCTCTAGGTTAGAGGGGCCTCTAGGTGTCTGGGGCTTAAAGAAGGGAATTCTAGAACAGGTCTCAGACTGTCAGAGCAAGAGTAGGAAGCCCTGGGGAGAGAGACAAGTTGAAACAGGTCTCCCAGGTCAGAAGGTGAGGCCCCCAGGGTGGGCGGGCAGGAAGGATGTCGGGATTTTCTCTCTGGTGCTAGAGGCAGGGGAGCTGTGATGTGGGGTATGGGGTGAGGGGTGGGTGTGCTCTAGCTGAGCCACACAGGGACTGGGCAGAGGCTGGCTCGCAAGAGGCTGAGGGGCTGAGGAGGACCCCAGGGCCCTGCTGGGCATAGTGGGTTGAAGGGTGGCCCCAAAAAAGATATGTCCAGGTCCTAGTCCCCAGAACCTGTATATGTGAGCTTATTTGGAAAAAGTGTGTTTGTATTGGATCACTCAGGTGAGCCCTAACTCCAGTGACAGGTGTCTTTACAAGAGACACACAGAGGAGAAGGCCAGGTGACCACAGAGGCAGAGATAAGAGGGATGCTGCCACAAGCTAAGGATGCCTAGAGCCACCAGGACCTGTAAGGGGCACTGAAGGATCCTCCCCTGCAGGCTGTGGAGGGAGCATGGCCCTGCCGATTCCTTGATTTCAGACTTCTGCTCCAGACGGTCAGAGGATAAATTTCTACTGTTTTAAGCCACCCCGTCCGTGGTATTTTGTTACTGAAGCCCTAGAAAACCAATACAGTGGGGGTGAAAATGGGCATGTTACAGAGATCCCCCCACTGCACGGGCCGCACCTGGGCTGGAAGGAGGCTCACAGACTGGCAGGCAGGAGATCAAAGGGAGAGCCAGGGAGCGGGGCTGCTGGGTGGAGACAGAGTGGGCTCAGGCTGGGTGGGCAGAGGAAGGCCTGTAGAGGGTGATGGATGGAAAGGACTGGGGGCAGGAGGTGGGCAGAGGCCTGGAGTACTCAGAGGGATGGGAGATGGGGGTCCGGGAGGGACACCCAGGAAAGGGCAATATCAGGCAGGGCACTTCCAAAAGATGGCAGGGCCTGGGAAGGGATGTGGGAGGGATGGCCAAGGAGGCAAATGGGGAAACCCCCAGAGCTGAGGCTTCCTGGGGAAAGAGGCTGATGTCCCTAGGGAGAGGCATGGCCAGAGAGGGCACTAGCTGTGCCGAGCTGGTCAAAGACAGACCCTTCTCAGAGAGCATCTGTGGACGTACATTACTGGGGGCTTCCTATGGGCAAACGTTGGTAAACGCCGTGCACGCTTTTTATCATTTAATTCTCACAACAGCTCTATGACTGTCCCCACTTGACTGATGAGGAAGGTGAAGGCTCCGGGGTAAGTAACCCCTTGAGGTCGGTTGCCCAGCTTGTTAAGTGTCAGACCCCTATAGGAAGCCACGTCTCTGACTGCAAAACTGGCTTCCTGCTGAGCCTGCCCCTCCCTCTCCCCCTGCCTCGGGGACCTCTGCTCCTCCCGCTGGGCGTCAGGGTCCGTTCTGTGCCTTCCACGGCTGGGACCCCACTGGGCCCACCTTTATATCGGCAGGCTCTGTCCCACTTCCTGCCTGGCCAAGACAGATTGCTCTAAAAGCTGCTCTTTGTCCTCCTTTTTTTCAAAAATTGTGTGTTTAATCAATTTTATAATAAAACCCAAACTGAATTCTTGAAAACAACAGCAAGGAGAAATAAGAAGAAAAAGTCTCAGCTCCGGGGAGCACTGACTCCAGCTCCACCAGCTCCTGCCCCAGCAGCAGCCCCGCTTTGCCTCCTTCTCTCTGAACCCTGCCTCCCCTGCCTGCAGCTCCTGGCCATGAAGCCTCCTAAATATCCTGAACTGCCCTCTCCTCCAAGCCCCTCCGTCTCTGCCCTGCCCCCTCCCAACTGCTCTCCCTGCCTCCCATTTGACTCCCCCTCCAAGCTGGTCCCCAAACTGTCCCCAGAGGCTCACTCTAAAAGGCAAATCTGACTCCATCAGTGCCCTTTTCTCAAAATTCATAGAGCCTAAACTCCTTAGCACGGCACCCAAGTTTCCGGTGTCCGGTACGCGCCCTCCCCAGCCTCACGCCCTGCCACGCACCTGACCCGCTGCCTTTGTATATGCTGGTCCCCCTGCGTGGGACCCCCTTCCTCCACCTGCCCATCAGGCCCTCCTCCTCACTGTCATGACAATTGTGTGGAACTTGGTTTATTCATTCACCTGATATGTGCCAACTCTGGGCTAGGCACTGGGGCATGGCAAAAACAGGGCAGACCCAGCCCCTGCACCCTCAGAGTTTCTTATCCCTGCTACATCTTGAGTAGCATCCCAGGTACATCTTGAGTCCCCCAGGACAGGTACCGCCTGAATCCACAGAGCCAAGCTTGGTGCTGCACCCAGTGTGTGCTCCTTAAGTGTTTGTTGACTGACTGACAGAGCAAATGAGTGAGTGAATAACCATAACTCTTTCCCTCTTCACAGTCCTCCCACTCCTGGGCAGGGGCTGTGTTGGCCTCTGAGTTGAGTCACCTGCTCACAGGAGGTGCTCAGTTCTAGAACACACGGCTCCCCTGGGAGAGGGAGGAGTGTAGGGAAGGGGACAGTGAGGGCTGAGGACAGAGTGCTCCGGGTCCTCAAGGCTGGGGGGCCTGGGAGTCTGCACCCCTCTCCCTTCTACTCACACACTACTTCTGAACTCCTGGGGAGAGGCAGGCCTGGAAACGACTGCCCACGTCCCCAAGGGCCTCCAGCTTGGAGGAGCGGACTTCCAGGGAGCGCCCCCACTGAGCTGCCTCCAGCTGGTCCCTGCACCCCCCACCCCCCGACATCTGGCACTCTCCCCAGCTCTGCCCAGCACCTTGAGCTTGGAGCAGGGTCAGGGGCCCCGAGAGGCCCCACACAGTTAGGACAGGACCAGACCCCTACCCTCTCCCCCTTCCCCAATGCGTTCTTGTCTCCTTTTCTTTTTCATATGGTATTTTAATGGCTTTGATGGTGGTGGTGGTTGCTACAAAAATAGTACACGTTTGTTCTAACAACTTAAAGAATACACAAATATATAAGGATAAAACGGTCGTCTCTCCCCCTCCCCCCATCCCTCCTGCATCAAGTTGACCTGAGACCAATTGGGTTAATCATTTGGCAGGTGCATTCCCCCTCCATCCCAACACTCGTGACACGACAGGAGTGTACGTGCACCAAGAGCTCTTAGGAAGATGGGGTGATAGTAAATGCATTACTTTGGCACTTGCATTTTTTTTTTTTTTTCTGTGAGGAGGACTAGCCCTGAGCTAACATCCAATTCCAATCCTCTCCTTTTTTCTTGAGGAAGACTGGCCCTGGGCTAACATCCGTGCCCGTCTTCCTCTACTTTATATGGGACGCCGCCACAGCATGGCTTGACAAGTGGTGCATCGGTGCACACCAGGATCCAAACCCGTGAAACCCGGGCCGCTGCAGTGGAGTGCGCGCACTTAACTGCTACGCCACTTGGGCCGGCCCCTGGCACTTGCTTTTTTAACTTAAAAACTTACTATGGACATCATTCCAGGGTAACATGTACAGAATTAACTCATTCTCTCTAACTGCTATGTTTCCTGGGGATGTTTAATAATTTATTTAAATGGCACTGTATGGACACTTCGGCCTTTTTTTGCGTGTGAAACAAGGAATACTGCAATAAACCTCCTCCCACTCGTCCTTAAGTTCTGGTTGGGTTCCCTGGGTTTAGAATAAATTCTCTAAAGTGAGGTCACGGGGTCAAAGGGTATGTGCATTTAAATTTTTAATAGGTCTTGCCATTTTACTTTCTCAAGCGCCCAGAGCAATTCACAAGTGTCCCAGGAGCGAATGGAAAGCTGCTTCCCCCCGCCCCGCACGACTCAGGTGTGCTCTCTCAGTTGTCCAAGCCTTTGCCAGTGTCATGGGCAAAAACGGACATCACATTGTTTTGGGACTGTGTTTCCTAAATATGACGAAGGTTGCACATCTTCTCATGTGTCAGTTGGCCTTTTTTATTTCCTCTTCTGTGAGTTTTTGAATCTAATCCTTAGCCCAGTTTTCAATTCTGGCGTCTTTATTTTTAAAAATCATCTTGTAGGACCAGCTTGAACATTATTGATATTAATCCTTTGTTATATGTGTTGCAAATATTATACTCCAGGGTAACAGTTGTCTTTTGCATACAGAAGTTTGTATATACTTAAATTATTTTTAACTTTTTATTACAAAAATTTGAAAACATACTCAAAAGTAATAAGAATAGCATGATGAGCTCCCAGTGTATGCACCTCTCAGCTCCAACAGTGATGGAGACAAGGCAAACTTCCCCTGTGTGAAGTTTTCCTTGTAACGTTGTTTGCGGTGGTTCTTGCCGTCGTGTAGTCACGTCTCTCAGTCTTTCCGCTCGTGCCTTCTGAGCTTCGTATGCTCCTTAGAAAGGCTTTCCCACTCCACAATTATTAACCAGACCAAACCACACATATTCTTCCAGTACTTTTAAAACATGATTGATTATTTTTTAAATGGTGGCATAGTATTTTTTCACATGGAGGACCATCGTTTATTTAACCAATCCTCAATTACTGAACACTAGGTTTTTTCTGATTTTCCTCTATTTTAAATCGTGCTGTATTGAGCAGCCAGCCCTGACTTCTCCCACTTCACCCGGATTATTTCACAGCAAACCCCAGACATCAAATCATTTCATCCATAAAGACAAAAGTTTTACTTTTTTTGTGTGTGTGTGAGGAAGATTGGCCCTGAGCTAAGATCTGCCAATCCTCCTCTTTTTGCTGAGGAAGACTGGCCCTGGGCTAACACCCCTGCCCATCTTCCTCCACTTTATGTGGGACGCCGCCACAGCATGGCCTGACATGCGGTGCGTCAGTGCGCGCCCGGGATCTGAACCGGCAAACCCCAGGCCGCTGCAGCGGAGCACAGGCACTTAACCGCTTGCGCCACCGGGCCGGCCCCCAAAAGTTTTACATTTTTTTATAACAAAAAATCTGTTAATCTTCTGGTCTTTTTGTCCTGCACTTTTAATTTTGTTTATATTTTGAATAGACTGTATTCACATGGTTCAACATTGAAAAAAGCAGAAGGATACATTGAAGAGTTTGTTTCCCACCCTACTCTCCGGCTGCCTAGTTCCTTTGCTGGGAAATAACCAGTGTTATCAGTTTCTTGTGTGCCTTTAGGGTCATTATATACACGTATAAAAGCGAATTATGTGCTCTTCCCCTTTTAAAATACAATAGCTAAGCTACACGATTATATGCTTTTGTTACTTAACACATCTTGGAGATTGTCTCAGAGGGAGCACCCTAGTTCTTGTTTCTAGCTCCACACATTCCCTTGCACAGACGTGCAAGCAGAGGTCGACTGGCCCATCTGGACCTGTGCACGTTTGGGTGCCTTCCGGCACAGACAGTGTTGCAGGGAAAAGCCTTCTACATTCGCCGTTTCGCTTGTGTGACAGGATATCTCTAGGATAGACTTCTGGATGTGGAAGTGCTGACTCAAGGGGGCATGTGTTTATGTTTGATGAATAGCGCCAGATTACCTCTACCGAGGCTGAGCCAGTCACACACCAGCCGGCCGAGCAGGAGCGTGGGTGCCCATTCTCCTCCCACT